CTACCTATTTCATTATGTCTCCAAAATACAAGGAATAGGATTTAGGGTCTCAGAATCCGTACCGAGTAAATCAAAAGACATAAATCCATAAATAGGAGTTTGTTAAGAACTCAGGATTAAGATAATCCAATATATGATCATCGGTAGACTCAATTAGAATTTCTATGCTTTAACGAAAATGATTAGAAATTCATATTGTGTCTGTGTCCTTGTTCCACGTAATCTTATTATGCGAAATACACTCATTCAATATCTCGCCATATTAACAGTGCGGATAACACCGTTCCATTCTAAATGGGAATGACATGTATTAATAATGTTTTAATTAAAGATTCTGAACTTTAATTAAATTCATCATGAATAATGTTTTTGATTATTATCCTTAAACACTATCCTTTCGTATATAACACTTATATACTATGTTTAAGGTTACATAAACAATCACGAAATTTTCATTTGATATTCATAAAATATTCATAAATATATGCACATAAAATGATGAATAAACTATTTTATTAATTAAATAATAAATATCCTATTACATCTCATGCTTCTAGGACACTATTCCCAACACCTACTTCATCATGTCTTTAAAATACACGGAATGAGATTCAGATCTCAGAATCCGTACCGAGCAAATCAAAAGACACAAATCCATAAATAGGAGTCTGTTAAGAACTCATGATTAAGATCATTCTATATATAACCATCGGTAGACTCAATTAAAATTTCTATACTTAACAGAAATTATTAGAAATTCATATTGTGTCTGTGTCCTTGTTCCACATAATCTCATTATGCAAAATATACTCATTCAATATCTCACCATATTAACAGTGCGGATAACACCGTTCCATTCTAAATGGGAATGACATGTATTAATAATGTTTTAATTAAAGATTCTGAACTTTAATTAAATTCATTATGAACATTGCTTTTTGATTATTATCCTCTCGTATATAACACTTATATACAATATTTAAGGTCACATAAATAATCATGGAATTTTCATTGATATTCATAAAATATTCATAAATATATGCACATAAAATAATGAATAAACTCTTTTATTAAATAAATAATAAATATCCTATTACATCTCATGCTTCTAGGACACCATTTCCAACACCCTTATCCCCACAGAATAATTCTCAAGTTACAAATGCATCCAAAGGCGTAAAAAGAAAAGCTTCCATGATTGATTCACTTGACAAGCATATTGGAATGCTTCACTTTGGCATGAGTAATGTGGCTGATGCACTTAGAGAGGGCAATGCTATTGCTGAAAAAATATAACCACGTATCTATTCGGAAGAAGAAGTGTATGATGAAGTAATGAACAATGGAGTTCCTGATAATATTAAATTATAAGCTTTTCTATTTTTAATCAAAAGTGCATCACAATAGTGGATACTTGACTGCAGGTGAATGTTGAGAAATATATATGACCATACAAACTAATACTTTTGTGAAAAATTTCGCTTACTTTACAATAGTAGATGCATAGTATACTAGTCACTTTTTTGTTGTATTTGAACCTTCAACAAGTTATTGTATTTAAACTATAGCTAGCTACTCTTTTGTTGTATTTAAACGTTAAAAAAATTACTGATGCATTAATGCTATATAAGTTAAACTATATTTTTGTACCTTTATATACGTATGTGTGTGTATATATACATAATATAGATGGATTATATGTTTAAGTTACATGAATTTTTTGAGCTAATTTGATGTTAAATACTATAGTATTTATACTTTTATTAAAAAAGAATATTAATAAAAAATATTTGAGCAAAAAAGTAATTACATCTCTTTAGTTTCACTTCTAATATCAAATAAGAAAAGGTAAATTCATTTTCTTTCTTCTCTATCATACCAAAAAAATCAAGAGAAAATTAAAATCTTTTTTTATCTTTCTAATTTTTTATGCATTATAATTTTCTTTTCTCTTTTATTTTCTTTCTATCTTACCAAACAAAGTGCTAGTATTTATCTCCTTTCCCCCTTATTTAACTGAACCACTCTTAGCCTCAAAGACTCGATATGGGCTGAAGAACTTCCTTAATATGGGCCTAACATCCGGTAAGGCCCACCTAGTATGCTGACATAAGCACAACGCTTAAGTTTCACCTGATCGGTAACTGAATAGAAACTTCACAGTTCACGTCCCAAATTAATTATTAATAAACAATAATAATAATAATATAAAATTAAAAAAAAAGAAAAATATGTCAAGATTTGAGATGAATTAAAATTAACAGATCAATAATTTATATAAGTTAATAAATAAGTTAAATTATTGTTTTTATCTATAACTTATTTGATTATGAACCATAATTTAATAAATTATTATCTATAATTATCTATAACTTATCTGATTATTAACTATAACTTAATAAATTATAATTTATTAATTTTTATAATTAAAAATTAACTTATATATTTTCTTAAATTTTTTATATTTACATATTTTTTAATATTTCACCGTAAAATTCTAGTTCTTCTCTCTCTCTGATGGCCTGGACTATCCGTACTTCGCCACATGGAACTGTGAGAGGAGGAGAGGGAGGGACACAATTACCGACCAAACCACAAGCTTTTCACTTCTCTCTCTCTCTCTCTCTCTCTCTCTTTCTCTCTCAACATTTTCGTGAGCCCTAGAATAGAATTTCTGATTATCCTGCGAAACAAACAGAAAAAAAGAAAAAAGGAAATCGGAGCTTTTCTTCGTCTCGTTCGTTAATGGCGCTTTCGGAGGAGGAATGCTCCTCGGCGAAATCCCGATCGACGTCCTCGGCGGCGTCGACTAGCAGCTCTCATTACCTCGCCAAGTGCGTCCTCAGAGGAAGCGTCGTTCTCCACGTCGTCTATGGCCGAATCCGCTCTCCCACCTCCTTCGACGTCGTTTTCGGCAAGGTCCTCTCTCTCTCTCTCTCTTCAAATCTATATATGGAGGGAGTTTTTGCAATGTTTAAGTCCGTTGATTTCTTTTGCATAATTCTCGATTGGTTTCGTTGTGTAAGTGTAATTCTTACATTGTGAATAGTTTTGTATTTAGCTTCAACATAAGCTACTAGAAGGTCCTTTTTTTTTTTTCGGATTGAGAATTTCGGGCTGAAAAATGGCTACTTCATGGACAATTTATGGTTTCAGGAAACGTCCATAGAACTGGTAGTGATAGGGGAAGACGGGATAGTTCAATCTGTAAGCGATCAGCCTGTGTTTGGGACGCTTAAAGACCTTGCAATCCTACCATGGAAAGACAAGTTTTGCCCGCGAAACGCGCAGGTCCGTTAGTTACTCACAAGTGTCTTTCACATTCTTTGGTTTATTTTGATATATACTTGATAGAAGCTTCTTTCTACTGTGTGAATATTATATGTTGCACTTCTTCTTGTGGTAGATGTTGGGTAGGGATTTTTTGCTTGTTCTTTCTGATTCTGGGAAGCTCTCGGTTCTATCGTTTTGCAACGAAATGCATAGGTAATCTTCATTTTCTCCTCTTGATTCGTTCTTGATCGCTGGAAAGGAGCGGTAGTTTTGCTGCATCTTCTGTTATACAAAGTGATTCTTAGTTAGTCTGGTATTTGGATTGTTTAAACAGGTTCTTCCCAGTGACTCAAGTTCAACTTTCAAATCCTGGAAACTCTAGGGATCAACTTGGAAGATTGCTAGCTGTTGATTCCAGGTGAATCCTACTTTCTCGTTATTCGGATGGATCTAAATATGGGGTGGCTTGATCTATCTAAATATGGATCTAAAGTGATTCCAAGTGCAGGTTTTATTGTTTTTTAATGTTTGGATTCAACTACAACTTCCACATTTCAGCGCGTAGCAATTCCTTAGTTGTGTAGCAATTCCTTAGTTCAGTCTCAAATACGCAGATAATTCAACCAAAAGTTGTAGTTATCTTTTCATTAAGATGATGATATACTGTTATCGAAAATGTTTAAATAGTTGTATGCATCATATTTTATAGGCAAACCTAACCAGACTATGTTCTATCAAAATTTATTTATATTCCCAGGCACTGTTGATAGTTATTTAACTGAATGTGGAGATTAAAGTACACAAATTTTGGGGAGGAGCAAGAAGAATGTGCCTGCTATATGATGAACTGGGTTTTATGTTTCTGGTTATGTTTGGTGGTACTCTTCGTCTAACGCAATAACTTTTATGGAGACATAAACGTGCTCAGTTTTAGTTTATCAACTGATCTGAAGTTTAAGGCTTTCAGCTGTGTTGCTTTGTGTTAGCTTTTGCGGGTCTAGATTATTGCAAACGAAATTTATTATGCTGAAAATTAAAAGAAAAGAAGAGAAGATAGGAAGCACTTGATTTTCAGTGATTTTCTTTGATCCTCACTTTTATTCTTTTACTTCGCAGTGGATCTTTCATTGCTGCAAGTGCCTATGAAAATCAGTTGGCTATGTTCTCTGTTTCAGTGTCTGCTGGCAGTGATATTATTGATAAGGTATTTTTTTTATTACTCATTTAAATACGTGTGGGTAGCTTGGGCCTTATTGTTAAAGGTTCCGTGTGGGATTTTATTAGAGAGAACATGCTTGCTTTTCCCCCCTTTATCATTTGAAATGATAGCTTGAGTTTTGACACAAATTAAGTTGTGTTGTGCCACTATTTCAGAGAATAGTTTATCCTCCTGAAAATGAGGGAGATCTAAGTATAACTAGAAGCGTCCAGAAGAACAGTATAAATGGTACCATATGGGGCATGTGCTTTATTTCAAAAGATCCTTCCCAACCAAGTAAGGGGAATAATCCTGTACTTGCCATTCTTCTGAATAGGTATGAAAATTATGAGAACTCAAGTTAGAGTTTCATGGTTTGCATTGCCTTAGGATGCATCTCTGTTATCATTTTGAATGTTCCTCTTAACATTTTTCTTAATGGAAAAACAACTATTTTGTCCTTTCAGGAGGTCACATCTTAATGAGCTTCTTTTATTGGGATGGAACATTAGAGATCATTCCATATCTGTTCTATCACAGTATGTTGAAGATGGACCTTTGGCATATGACATTGTAGAAGTCCCTCATTCTTATGGATTTGCTATTATGTTCAGGGTGGGTGATGCTTTCTTAATGGATCTTAGAGATGCTCATAACCCTCGTTGTGTCTATAGAACAAACTTAAATTTTTTACCCCATGCAGTTGATGAGCAGAATTTTGTTGAAGAATCGTGCAAGACAGAACATGAGGTTGATGATGAAGGTTTGTTTAATGTTGCTGCCTGTGCGTTGCTGGAGCTTAGGGATTATGATCCGATGTGCATAGATGGTGACAGCGGAAACGTAAATGTTAGCTACAAACACTCGTGTTCATGGAGTTGGGAACCGGGAAATAGTAAAAAACTAAGGATGATTTTTTGTTTAGATACTGGAGAATTTTTCATGATTGAAATTTGCTTTGACTCTGATGTTCCTAAGGTTAGTCAATCTGATTGTCTTTACAAAGGTTCACCTTGCAAGGCGCTTTTGTGGGTTGAAGGTGGGTTTCTTGCTGCTCTTGTTGAGATGGGGGATGGTATGGTCCTGAAATTGGAAGATGAAAGGCTTATTTATGCTAGTCCTATACAAAATATTGCTCCCATCTTGGATATGTCAATTTTAGATTACCATGATGAGAAACACGATCAAATCTTTGCCTGTTGTGGAGTGGTTCCAGAGGGATCATTAAGAATAATTCAAAATGGCATTAGTGTAGAAAAGCTACTCAAGACAGCTTCTATGTATCAAGGCATAACTGGTACTTGGACGGTTCAGATGAAAGTAGTGGATTCTTATCATTCTTTTCTTGTGCTATCGTTTGTGGAAGAGACGAGGGTCTTGTCAGTTGGTTTAAGCTTTACTGATGTGACTGATTCAGTTGGTTTTCAACCTGACGTCAGTACTTTGGCATGTGGTCTGTTAAATGATGGGTTACTTGTCCAGATTCACCAGCATGCAGTAAGACTTTGTTTGCCCACTAAAGTTGCCCATTCAGAAGGAATTTCTTTGCCTTCTCCCGTTTGTATATCTTGGTGCCCAGACAATATGAATATCAATTTGGGTGCTGTTGGACATGATCTGATAGTTGTTTCTACTTCTAATCCTTGTATTTTATTCCTTCTTGGGGTCAGATTGCTGTCAGGATATGACTATGAGATACATGTAATGCAACATTTGAGATTACAATATGAGTTATCATGCATTTCCATTCCTCAAAAACGTTTTGAGCGAAAAAGTCCAACTCGCCCTATTGGTGTTGTGGACGATAGCTATCTGTCTGCCCTTCCATCTGAAGTTGACATCAGTAAAGCTTTTGTTGTTGGCACACACAAGCCTTCAGTGGAAGTTTTGGTTTTTGATCCTGATGAAGGCCTAAGAGTAATTGCAAATGGGACAATTGCACTTACAACTATTATGGGAACTGCTGTTAGTGGTTGTGTTCCTCAAGATGTGAGGCTTGTTTATGTCAACCGGTTGTATATCCTTTCTGGACTGAGGAATGGTATGCTGCTTCGTTTTGAGTGGCCTTCTGCCTTTACATTTTCACCATCAGTACTGGCCAATCGGAATGCTCTTTCTTCTGTTCTAGTGGATGCAGGTCCTGTTTTTTCTAGCACATCAGCACCGAATAGTTTTGGTCTAAAAGCCAATGATGTTAAATTATCTGAGAAGGCAAAGTCTAAAAATCCTATTAATCTTCAATTGATCGCCATTCGTCGCATTGGCATCACTCCTGTTTTCCTAGTTCCCTTGAGTAGCTCGCTTGATGCTGATATAATTGCTCTAAGTGACAGACCTTGGTTGTTACACACTGCAAGGCATAGTCTCTCTTATACATCTATTTCGTTCCAAGCTTCAACACACGTGACTCCTGTATGTTCTGCCGAGTGCCCGAAGGGTATTTTGTTTGTTGCAGAGAACAGTCTACATTTGGTGAGGATTCTAATCCATTTTGTTGTGTCCTGTTATGGGTCGTTTGCTTTCATTTTGATAAAGAAAACACTTTATTAGTTTGTTGAAAATTATATTTCATAGCGAAATAATTCAAAAATTAGACCTTGAATCATTCACCTTCAAGTGATACAACAATTAATCTTTTATTTATTTTTGGATGCGGTTGGGTGCATTGAATTCATGATATGATTTTTATCATGCAATATGTATGATTTTATTGTTCTCATCTCTCCAGGTTTTTGTTTTTTTTTGTTTTTTGTTCTTTTTATCGTTTTTATCTTTTTTCCTATTATGGTAGTAGCACTTTTTTATTTCTGCTGTATGTTTCTGGTTAATGTTTGTGTTAAATGGTCATTTAGAATATTTCCTGTTATTGCTTTTGGAAGCAGACTTAAGTTTAGTATTGTAACTCTAACATGATATGTACTTATTTTTAGGTTCCAAACGTGATAATATCTGTGGTATAATTACAGAACAATTGCTGAATAAAATTTATAAATAAAAAATTTTGAATAATTCATTTTTTGTTCTTATATATATATTTATATATTTGTTGGTATCAAAGTATCAAACGAATTGTGTTTCAGTAGTCGAGTCGTGTTCTACTCAGTTAAATAATCAAATGTTCATGCTTATCATGGACTTTCTTCTTTTCGTTTTTTATTTTTATTTTTTTTTTTTTGGGTCTGTTTGGATTGTGTTGTAGGAACTAAAGATTCATGATTTAGGATGCTCTCTCTCTCTCTCTCTCTCTCTCTCTCTCTTCTTATAGTGAGTTCTTTGTTCTCATAGTGAGTGATTCTTTAGTTGATACCAGTTTGTATATTATAATTCCTTAGGTGGAGATGGTGCATTGTAAGAGGCTTAATGTACAGAAGCTTAGTCTTGGAGGCACTCCTCGAAAGGTTCTGTATCACAGTGAAAGCAGGTTATTGCTTGTGATGAGGACTGATCTCACAAATGATACATGTTCGTCTGATATATGTTGTGTAGATCCTTTAAGCGGTACAGTGCTCTCATCTTTTAAACTTGATCATGGAGAAACAGGAAAATCTATGGAGTTGGTGAGAGTAGGGAATGAACAGGTTCTTGTTGTTGGAACTCGTCTGTCTTCTGGTCCAGCCATAATGCCCAGTGGCGAGGCTGAGAGGTGTACCATCTGTCCTTAGCCTTTTCTTTCTACCCGTTTACATATTTACTATTTATATTGTGCTGCATTGCAGAAAGCATATTGCCTTAACACTTGACTGTTTATCAAGTAAATCTTTGTGGTTTTTACATCTATTTAAGTTTGGAGTCATGTTTTCCTTTGTGTATAGTTCGATTAACATGTCATCCTAATCGTACTTTTCTGAACAGTACAAAGGGTCGTCTTATTGTTCTCTGTCTTGAACACGCGCAAAACTCGGATAGTGGTTCAATGACATTCTCTTCGAAGGCAGGTTCATCTTCTCAACGAGCTTCGCCATTTCGTGAAATTGTTGGATATGCCACAGAACAGCTATCTAGCAGTAGCCTGTGCAGTAGCCCAGATGATACCAGCTGTGATGGAATCAAACTTGAAGAAACTGAAGCATGGCAGTTACGGTTGGCTTATTCAGTCATGTGGCCTGGAATGGTACTCGCGATTTGTCCCTATCTTGAACGATACTTCTTGGCATCTGCCGGTAATTCTGTAAGTTTCAATATTCCTTCTTACTTTCTCTTCTATACGCTTCTTTTAGAAATAATCCAGCATATATAGTTTTATGTAATTTTTGGTGATAAAGATTCTATTCCTCTTTAAATTCAGTTTTATGTCTGTGGTTTTCCGAATGACAATTCCCAACGGGTGAGAAAATTCGCTGTGGGGAGGACAAGGTTTATGATTACGTCTTTGACTGCACACTTTACAAGAATTGCTGTTGGCGACTGTCGCGATGGTATCCTCTTCTTCTCTTATCATGAAGTAAGTGACAAGTTTGGTCTCTGAATAATTCTGTGTTTTAGTTTGGGAAGTTAGTTCTTCTTTGCTTTTGTGTTCCCTTTTCTTTGACGTCCCTTTTCTCCCCCGTGCTCAGAATGTACTCTTCTATTTTCACCTTGGAATAGCAGGATTTTTGCCTGTTTCTTTTTCAATGCATGTGTTGACGTTGACATCCTTGCTTCTTGTGTGGCAGGATGCTAGAAAGCTGGAACAACTTTACTGTGATCCGTCACAAAGATTAGTTGCGGATTGTCTTCTCATGGATCTAGATACTGCTGTTGTATCAGACCGTAAGGGGAGCATTGCTGTCCTTTCATGTGCTGATCACTTAGAAGGTACAAGATTGTTAATCTCCAAAGTAATTAGACTAGGATGTGTATCTCCATGACCTTCAGTTAGAGCCCTTAATTCTTGCTTATTTCCTATGGAGATTATGCCACTCAATCTCTAAAAAAAATTAGAAGTTTTGGAGATTAGGCAGCAAATCAGCGACATCAGAGGTCACTTACGAGTTTGAACTTAGAGATGAATTTTGAACTAGACCGTTACATTAGGAAAAGTAAAATAAGAAAGGTATAGAGCCCTACAACTTTTGAAACTTCACTGTAAAAATCTGATCACAGCAGTTAGTAATGCCTATTATCTGGCAGTACAATCCACGGATCCAGATCCATGTACCTTCTTGAGCAGGAAAATCACCTGCAGCCCCATTTGATCTCTTTGTGAAGTTAGTGTGAAACAGTCTTGGCTTACATATGAAAATTGATGAATCAATCAATTACTAAATGGTGTTATTTATGCAGCATAGATAGAAAATATACTGATACTTTGAGAAAGGTATTGGGTATTAACTTTCAACTTGTCAGTTCCCCTCTTCTCCCACATTCTGCTGATTCTCTTCCTTTGTGGCTGGAAAATAATATTATAATCTTTAATGTTGTGTGTCCCAGATAATGCTAGTCCAGAATGCAACTTAAATGTAAGCTGTGCCTATTATATGGGTGAGATAGCTATGAGCATAAAAAAGGTACAGTCTTGCTGTTACTCCATCCCGCCCCTTCTTTATTGGGACGAGTTATTTTTGCAGTTGAATACCAATTTCTGATAGCACTTCTTTGGGGACTTCTGTTTTCCCGCCTATTTATAAGTTCTCTCTTAGATTTGATTTGGAACCCCTGAAGATTTACCCATGTTTATTTGTAGGGATCATTTTCATATAGCCTTCCAGCAGATGATGTATTGAAGGGCAGCAACATGAAGATTGACTCTGCACGCAATACCATTATTGCCAGCACCCTGCTAGGAAGTATAATTACCTTCATTCCTTTATCAAGGTAGACCATGATGGCACGACCTTCTCAGTTTTCTCGAGGAAGATAAATAATGTTGCTAACAGTCACAGTTTATTAGCATATAGTTCTGTCTGTGAAGATGCCCTACCATAAATGTTAGTGGAGTTTAAGTATTGCCTTGCGTGCCAATGGAGTTTTCAGTAATTACCATGTTCGTGGCTTTATTAGTTTCAAAGTAGTGCAGGTGTTGAAAGTTGATGAAAGATCACAGGACACATACCTTTTTGTTTCTGTTTCTATGCAAGCAAAGTGCAAAAAACAACTTAGCTACTGCCTATAAGCTTACACCTGCTCTTACAAGAAAAAATACATTTTCGATGTCCGACTGTTCTATCTTTCCTTTCATTTTCCTCTGTTTGCATTAGGTTACAACGGCATCCACTAGAAAAGAGAGAATCCACTTCAGATAACCACGCCTCTGCTAAGTTTCGTACATAATAGCCCGAGTGGTCTTGTTCCATTTGTTTGTCCTGTTAGTTCTTTTTGGTTGAAGTACCATGGTCTGGACCTCCTAGTGTAAATCTCTAGACACCTTGAACGATTGTGCTGTCTGCTCTGTGCAACCAAAGTCTACTTTTAATTTGGTTTTTGTATTCATAAATGATACGAAAGGTTTTGATTGTCAAGGAAAATCTTCCTTTATCGGTGTCTGGTCCTCCAAGCACACTTGCACTAACCCCATGTGTGCACGCAGAAATGTGGGGTTTTTTAAGTAGAACTTTTTTTTGCTTCTTTGTTTGGATTTTTACGTTATAAATATCAATCTTCTGTAGGGATGAATATGAACTATTGGAAGCTGTCCAAAGTAGGCTTGTAGTTCATCCATTGACTGCTCCTATACTTGGAAATGATCATAACGAGTTTCGCAGCCGTGAAAACCCGGTAAGAAATGTAGCAACCTGAAATGCTTTATTTATTATTATTATTTTTTTTACCTGAAGTGCATGTTCTTTTGTATTTGCACACTTTCGTGGAATTTGATACAGTTCCTAGTAGGAAACATGGTTGTTATTGCTATTTATTTTTGAATATTTGTTTGCTCAATTATTTATTACTTTACATTTTACCTTAAAAACTTGTGGCTTTCTGCTCTCTCTTGATTTAGATGGTACCTTTTGTATTCTTTTGTATTATGGTCTATCGGTTTAAGAGCATATGAGAACCACCTTTATGACTTGATTCTCAATTTAGCTCTCTTATTTGTTGCAGCCTGGAGTACCTAAAATACTTGACGGTGATATGCTTACTCAATTCTTGGAACTTACAAGAATGCAACAAGAAGCTGTACTGTCGTTACCTCTGGGCACAAAAGATGCAGTAAGCTCAAGCTCAAAAACTACTCCTCCGCCGATCCCTGTCAATCAGGTTGTGCAGCTCTTGGAGCGAGTACATTATGCACTAAACTGATCTAAGAATGTGTTCCAATTCTCCAACCTGTTTATGAGTTATGGAAATAGGTTTCAAGTGTCCAATTGAAGAAGCGCTTGAGCCGACTTTCATATGCCAGTTTTTTTATGGCAGCATCTTCATTTGTCCTCCAAGTTTTCTGAGCAATGAAACATCGGTCCAGAAAACCAAATACCTCGTATCGCTAAACATCTTTTGTTACTTAGTCTTATGGTTAATGCTGTAGCAAGATGTTTCTGACGACTCACTTTCTCAGTTTGAATCTAAGGTGGAGCAACAGCTGAGCCCAGCAAATAAAATGCCAAGATGTGGGTGGATTTTTCGCCATTTCACTCCATGTAATTATCTATCCCTTGTATTATTGTTTAGAATAATTTGTTGTTGACGGTATGTCAGATGGAAAAACAGACGGTTGAAAAACATATTTCTGTATAATATCTGGATGTACGCTAATTGAAAAAAACTATACGAAAAATTTAACAAAATAAAGCATTGCATTAAATAATATTTTTTACATTCAAATATTAAATTTATAATTGGCACATCAATTACATATTGCATCGGAGATGCAAGCTTCCCTGCTGATTCAGGGTTTTGGGGTTTGGATATTTTGCATTTGGTTTTACTGAAGTTATTGCCTGCAGGAGAATCAAGCGGTCGACCAAAAGATTGAGCCCAGCCCAACCTACAATGAAGCACTTAGCCATATGACATGCAAAAGTGCACCAAAAAAAAAGTAATAATATATTGAAGAGAGAATCTTGGAATCTGCCCCCTTAAGATACTTTTCTAGTTTTGTATCATTCACTTAAATTTTGCCATTTTTAAGTTGAAATGTAATGAGAAAAAGTAAGGGTACATTCTAGGATAGACATTTTTTTTAACTTACCGGTAGAAACTATTTTAGCTGACGGAGTAAGTTTTCAACGATATGATGGGAGTATTCATATTAAAAATTTATAATACGTAATACAGAATTGTTTCAATCACAAAACATGCCATTAAAAACTTAATTCATAAAAATTTTCAGAAGTACGAATACTGTTTTAAAAAAGACAGATCTTTAATGTCCGTTTATTAAATGGGCAATCCTCCAGATTTTTCTTGTTTGTGGATAACTAGAGAAAACACTGAGGCATTTGTAAAAATAAATCAATAGAAAAGTTTTATTAGTAAAATAATTTTTAAAATTTTTTTATTTATAAAATGACTACGGAACCACTATTTTTTTTATAAAAAAACATCGGACGGCCGTTTTTCATAAAAAATAAAAGTCATTTTCTTAATTTCACCTTGTTTGATAGTAACTCTAGCAAATTTTTTGAAAACACCCTTAAAAACAGAAAGTAATGAGACATAGATCTCTCATTCGAGACATTCATCGGGTCTTTTGTTTTAATCTTAACAAAAGGGAACCGAACCAAAGTAATATAAGTGAAGACCAGTGAAAAGACCTCAAATATTAAATGAGTCGCATTTGGTTGATATTTAGTAGTGTTTTTATTGCCGCTGACATTATCATTCAATTCAATATGGTTACAGAAGAACAGAGGAGAATAAAGGGACGGCAAAATTAGTTAAGACTGCATTTATTGCGTCCCCTAAATACATCTGCATCAATTCCATCGTAGATATAAATATACATATATATATATTTATATATTTATGAATGTATATACGTACATTGTCAATGGAGTAGTTTATATAGATTTGACACTAAATTATCAACGACAAGTCGACGACATCTTATGAACAACAAAAGGCTTAAATGTTATATCATCTCTGGCTAATAATGAGCTTTACTTAGAACAATGATATACGAAACGACTAGGCTTTGTTAACAATGTATTAATAAACGACAACACTTTAGAAGAATGACAAGAACATGTAAAAGACACGACAGTTTGAAGCCCCTAACATTGTAGAAAAACAAAAAGAGGTACTTTATAGAGGGCAAATTAAAAGTGAAGACTTAAATATAAAGACATAAAATTCTTGTATACGAGAATAACTTTCACGACACATATAAACTACGTCAGGGTACTACTAACGTCTCTTTAAACAAAACGACAACTGAGAAAGGAAAATCAATAAAAAGTACGATAAGGTGCGATCGACAAAAGTTTTAAAATGACATCTTCTTACAAAGAGACAATAATCTATGAACAACAATGGCCCAAAAAAAAAAACAGCAACGTCAATATTGAGAATAACAACAATAAAATATTAACGCTAGTAATAGCTTCTTAAAATGACGTCTTCTCCGATTAATGACAAGAACTTCTTTACAAGGACAACTAGAGTTGTCAATTTGGCCGGGTCGTCCATGGACGATCCGACCCAGCCCATTACAGTACCGGGTTTGGTATGTGTTGCATAATATCTTACGCTCAAAATAATGTAAATTTTTTTATGTAAGTGTACACAGCCAACAAGTAATAAAGAGTGAGTGATTTATCGTTCCCACGGAGATTGACGATTGAGCGAAATTATAAAGATCTATTGCTAAACAAATTAATAAAGAGATAGGCTAAAACGCAAATGATATTACTACACAATTCAGAGAAGCAAAACAATATTAAACTATGAGTAATGTGAATTCAGGGCACTCTAAACTTATCAGATACGTTAATAAGGGTAAAAGCTAGCTAGGATTTAGAATCCCCCTAAGATGCAGATCCGCTCGTGTTGCTGCTTAATGCTGTAGCAAAATTTCCGTTCCGTCAACCTGGATTTCACACGTTAATCACAATAATCTTCCCAGATTACTTGTGTTTGGGTTTCTCAATTAGATCTAACATATTCCTATGCTAAACCTAACTTCAAATACTCATTTAATACACCAATTTCCAGCAGTTATACAAGGTAACAATATATTCCTATACTGTGACAAATCAAGTAATTTCCAAATAGATTTCCTGATCTTGCATCATCCAAGTTAAATCCACTAGATTTATCTTTTTCCAAAGTTAAATCCAATTAATAACTACAAATTAATTTCCATCAATGAGTAGTAAATACGATAGAGACACTTGAATGAACGAAATTGAAAACGTCACTTAGCATCAAACATTAACTCAGCTTCATCACAACTCAGGGTTCATCATAATCCCAGCTATAGCAAATTAGCTCATGTTTACAAATGCAGAACTAAAAGAAATAACAAAAACCATAATATCCAACATTTCAGATTTAAAATGGAGTTACAGATTTAGAGAAGGGAAGAGATGGAAGATAAACGTGGATGGGATTCCTCCACTCTCAGCTTGTCCTTGTTGCCTTTCCTCCAAGCTGCTTCCCTTTCCTCCTCTGTACTCTCCCGGCTGTCCTCTGGTCAAAAAATGTGCTGAAAAATCTCTTCTCTGTCCTACCTTCCGTGTCTGCCGTTAGCTCCTCAATATTTTCTATATATATGCCAGCCTTGGACCACGTCCTTTCCTTTGCTCAGCTAGGGTACGCAAATGAGGTTCTCAGCCATGGGCACGTGTCAGCTACTAAGGATTCCTCACATGATTATGCCATCTCAGCCATCCGGGTACAACTCCTCAGAATAAGTGGAGAATGCCAGCTATACAATTCCAGCTTTTCAAGATTCGGCTAAAATGAGCTGCCGCAGCATCCCATTGCAAAGCTGTCCTGTCGTTTCCAGCTTCTACTCATAAAAATGACAATTGCCTACATACTCACTTGCATGTTAGTCTCCTCAAGCATTTATATATATATATTTTTTCTTTCTTTCCATTCATCTTTTCACAAAAAAAAAAAAAACAGAAAACGTAAATACAACATACTAGCAATAGCAAAACAATAAAAACAATTAAAACTGAAAGATACTCTCATAAATCACCCTCTTAGAAACAAATTTAAGCTTAGAAATGATTAAGGTAACTCTATTTTCATAGAGTTATCAGTATGGCCCCCGGTCTTGTACTGTTACGGGCCGACCCGGCCTGGCACGTCTATCGGGTTAGGGCAGGGCCACAATTCCCAGCCTGCGGCCCTGGCACGACCTAGGCCTAGCTCGGCACGGCCCAAACACTCGGTGGGCCTAACGGTAAAAACCGGCCCGGCATGCGGCCTGGCACGCGGCCCGGCACGCAGCCCGGCACGTCACGGGCCTAATGGTCAGAAACGGCTAGTCTGAGCCCAGCCTGTGACGTGCCTAATAGTCCAATTCTGAAAATTAAGCTACAAAACCCCTATAAGTACCCTACCTCCCTCACAACATTCTCCACTTTTCTACATCACTCTCAACCCTCAACTTCTCTCACTCTCATAACTCTATCTCTCATACTCTCTCTCTGATTCTTAGCTTTCTCTCTCGATTCCTAACTTTCTTTTATCTGTTTCATTTACAATTTTCAATCAAATTGAAGACATCCTAAAAAACAAATGTACTGTACTCATTATTTTTGTATAATATTTTCTTCCTATTTAATGTTTATTTACATTGTTTATTATTTATAAACCCCTTTGTTAACACTAATTTTTTTTTTTGTTTTTTTTTGTTTTTTACAGAAAATGGCGAAGGAAATTTTCTTGATGTTTGTGATTTTGGAGATCAACCATTTTTCGATGATGAAATTTTGATGCACAACTCCAACCCCACTGATGCGGATAATGTTCCGATTGATAATAAATCAGTGCACAATGAGGATGTTGGAGAACGTGCAAGGGGAAAAAGACCGTACACTGCTCCTGCATGGCAACATTTAACAGAGGAGCTACGACCAAATTCAAAATCTGGTGAAGTTAAAATGCGTGCGGTATGTAAATATTGTAAAAAACACTTTTTCAACAAAAAAGTGGGGGTACTGGCCATCTCGATAGACATTGAAAAGCATGTCTACAATTACACCAAGGTGGTAGTGTGGACTCCTGCCAACAAACACTTTCACAAACAAATCAAGGTTTACAAAATTTTTCATATGATGCACAACGTGCTCGTGAGGAACTAGCTAAATTTTTAGCTAGTGCCAAATTACCATTATCTTTTGCAGATGATGCAGCATTTGAAGAATTTATTCAGACGACATTTTGTCCACAATTTAAAAGGGTTAGTAGAAACACAACTAGAGCTGATTGCATGAAAGTTTTTTATACAATGAGATAATCACTTGTTGATAATTTTAAGTCTTTTAATGCTACAGTCTCTTACACATCTGATCTTTGGGAGGGTTGTAATAAAACTGGTTATTTATGCGTCACGACTCATTATGTTGACGGGGATTCAATTTTACAAAAATGAATTATTGGTTTTCATTTATGCCATTTTCCACATAATGCAAATGCTATTTTTTCTACTATTATGGAGACTTTTAATTTTTATGGCATTGAAGATAAAGTTTTAACGATTACTTTTGATAATGCATCAGCAAACATAGCTGCTATCAACATGTTTAAAGCAAATTTAAAACCACCTTTTGTTGGAGAATTTTTTCATCAACGTTGTGTATTTTATATCATAAACTTAGTAGTCCAAGCTGGTATTGAATCTATATCCCATCTTCTAACTAAAATTAGAGAGACGTTATCTTTCATCTCTAGTTCAAGAGCTCGGCTCCAAGAATTTCGCCAATATTGCAGGAATAGCCAGATGCGGCCAAGAAAGTTTCCAACAGATGTTCGACATAGGTGGAACTCCACCTACATAATGTTGAAAAATGCTATTCCGTATCAATAGATAATCACTACATATGTGAACAATAAGCATGATGAGCATTTTATTTATGATGCAGATTAGAAGATTGGTGAGTACTTTTTAAAATTTTTAGAAGTATTCTACAACGCTACCAAATTATTTTATGGTGTGCATTATCCTACTACTCATCTTGATTTGCATCAATTATTTAATATTTTTGAAACATTTACTTATTATAGGCAT